GAAAGTCTTCTTCTAGGATCCTAAACAGAGGAGAAGAGTATTGGGATCAAGCACAGCATTGTCTTCTGAGTAATACAATGGGGAATCTTGGAAGTTTCACTCCTCAAACTGATGGAGAGAGACAGAGAGAGAGAGAAAAGAATGCACAGAGAACAGAAAAGACATGGAAGCTACATTGAATGGCTAGTAAATAGTATATTAGGTGAAGAAGCATATTTGGTTTTTAAATAGGTGGGGAATCAATAAGAAACGGGTACGTTGAACCTCAGAGTTAGCGACAACTTCCTCTCCTATTTAAACATTAGCTTGGCTACCATGTTCATATGCCTACTTTCTCATAGCACATTTTTGAGAGAAGTTCTGAAAAGTCAAGAAACCCATTATTACTGGACCCTCAGGATCAATCTGTTGCAAGACTATAGAAAATCATTCTATCTTACTATCATATATTTTCACTCTTGTTTTTAGTGGGTATTCAATTTTCCATCATCGCTACTAGTGTCAACCATACGTGCACTTTTGAAACACAGGTATCAGCATTTTCCTCATTTTTTAGTTATATATTTAAAGATTACTACTCTACCCTCCTACTGACTAAAAGTGAAGCACAGAACACGCAGTGTAGCTAATAATTAAAAACATTATAAAATGCAATAGCCCAAATACAAGTCTGTCTGAAGAAATTAATTGTAACCCACAAAAGTTTACATTAAAATCTGATATGTCTTAAAGGTGGTTACATCTGATCTCATCTGGAATGGGTGCTGGTGTTGTTAAATCAATCAAAGATGGGCAGAGGCACAGCCAACGATTTATTTCCCCTGAACATCCAGATGCACGAAAAGGATGCTGCAAATTTCATTCATTCTTCGTGGAGAGGACTGCAAGGGGCTGAATGCCAAATCCTCTTTCTGTTATCTTTCTAGATGAAGTCTCAGTAACCCAGCCCAGGTCTATAGCCAGACACAAACAAGGGTGGATCAACAGTGGGGCTGAGGGGCCAGTTTCGTCTCTCTTAGCCAACCAGAAAAAGCAAGAAATGTCTTCTGTAAAAGAGACCTCCAAGCAGGGGTAAATTAACCATTAAGCATAATAAAAATGTGGTTAGGGGCAACAAGGGAAGAGGGGGCACCACATAAATTTTCCATAGCCGAATTTACCATGGGCCATATGGTGCAATACTGCAAATGGTGCGGCCATTAAAAATTGCATACAGATATATACAATAATAACAAGAGCTGGCCATTAAAAAATTGCATACAGATATATACAATGATAACAAGAGCACTCCGAGAGTGTAGACCTCTGCCAAGGGTCATGAAATAAATGAAAGCAGGGAAACTTTGTACGCAGTCTGTGAAATTTGTATACAATCTGTACAACGTCAGTAGAAAAAAAAACACACACATATTCTGATAAAAACATAATCTCCTCAGCGGAAGTAATAATAATAGTAGTAATAACGATAGAGGTTAGTGATATACATTAACCTTGGGAATACAACAAAATTAGAATCTGGTTGATAAAAACATAACCTCCTCAGCGGAAGTAATAATAGTAGTAGTAACGATAGAGGTTAGTTGGGAATACAACAAAATTAGAATCTGGTAGGTTTAACTGCCCCATGGTCCATGGAGGCTCACGTGCTAACGTAACTGTGTGTCAGGATCTGGCCTACATGACTCTGGTAGGGTAACTGCAGGATCAGGGCCAGCCTGACCCAAGAATTGCCTGGTGTTTGCATGCTCAGGCCCTGGCCTGCACAGCAGCTACCAGGCCACTCTCATGAGGGCCCCACTTGGAAGCCTGGAGGGAAGGCCTATTTATTTTTTATTTTTAAAAAAATAACAATGACAACAAATAATGTAATTAATGTTTCATAATTTTGTGGAAGTGCTTTTCAAATCTTGTGAAACTCATGAAAATAGCCAAATGGTGTTGCTATTGACTATGGATGCATTTTCTATTTTTTATTTATTGAGGTAAATCACAGTGTAGCAAAGGATCCAGAGTTGTGGCTTGATTTCTCTGCTAATGGTGTGGCTTATTGGATTGTTTGTGGACCCAGTATTTTCTATTTTTTATTTATTGAGGTAAACCACAGTGTAGCAAAAGATCCAGAGTTGTGGCTTGATTTCTCTGTTAATGGCATGGCTTATTGGATTGTTTGTGGACCCAGTGACTGCCAACACCACAGTGGGCCATTTGACAAGTCTTGCCGGCATTTCAGTAGTGGCAAACCAGTAAGGCATTGTTCGCAAAAACTTTTTGTTGGGAAAAAAGTCAATGGTGAGAAATACAAAAGAGACTGGTTACTGTATTCACCATCAACTGGATCGGTTTATTGTTTCGTTTGCAAACTGTTTCCTCCTAAAAATTTGTCAGATTTTCTTATAAGAGAAGGGTTAAGTGACCAATAAAATACTATTATAATTTATAATCATGAAAAAAGCACTATTCACTGAGTAGACTCAGTGAGTAGACTCTATGCTAACATACTTAACTAGCGGACAAAGTGTGGGGTTGGGGCAACAATTGGAGAAACAAATTCAGGAAGAGTGTGGTTACTGGGAACATGTCTTGAGGTGTGTCATAGCTGCTATTTGTACGTTACCTGAATGTGGCTTGGCTTTTCGAGGAAGAGAAGAAAGGTTTGGATCATTGCAAAATGGAAATTTTTTAGGGCTGCTTGAACTCATAAGCTAGTTTGATCCATTTTTATCAGGCCACATTTTGAAATATGGAAATTGAGGCAAAGGAAATCCTTCTTACCTGTCCAAAACCACCTGTGAGGAACTTATTCAACTAATGGTCCATGCGCTTATTGCTGATGAAGTAAAATTGTTGTTTTAGTTTGTCAGTTGATTCAACACCAGTTCTATCATATATCGATCAGTGAAGTGTTGTACTTAGGTACCTAAAAAGTGAACAGCCTATTAACACTTTTTAACCTTTCTCGAAATGAAAGGCAAGGAAATAGCAAATCAGGTGTTGCAATATGAGAAGTTTGTAGGCTAAACTTTGCAAAATGTAGGGGGTCAGTCTTATGACAATGCTGCTAACATGTCTGGGTGTTATAAGGGGATGCAACAAATTTTTAAAGAAACAATCAAGTTTGCTATACTGTATATGTGCCCTGTGCAGCTCATTCACTAAATCTGGTAAACTGAAGTGCTGTTGACTGCTGTCAAGAGGCAATTAATTTCTTCTCTACAGTGCAGTTACTCTGTACCTCTTTTTCAGTGTCAAGCAGCCGGTGGAAAATTCTCAAGGGTTTTTTTGGAAATGAAAATGTCTTAAAATCCCTCTGATACCAGATGGGAGGCACATGCTTTCCTTAAAATGTTAGAAGCATCAGAATATATAGCTGAAGACCAGTCACAAAAGGGGGATGCTAGAAGAGACACAAATAATATTGCAGATAAGATGCAAGAGCTAGAATTTATTTTTATGTTGGATATTTTGAATGAAATTTTGCAGAATTTTCACAGAGTAAGCCAAGTTCTACAAAATGAGGATGTTAACTTGGAAACATGTGCAGATCTGTATGTATCATTAGCTGACCAACTGTGCACTTCACGAGATGAATTTGAAAGATATGAAGCGGCTGCAAAGGAAATGCTACCAGATGCTGATTACAAGGCAGCGATGACTCGCAAGCATATCAGAAAGAAGGTACCCAATGACAGAGATGCACCAGAAGTATATCTGAATGCCAGAGACTAATTCCGTATCACCAACTTTTATACAATTGTTAACAAACTTGAAACTGAGATGAAATATATAAATAGCAGATTTTCTTTTCTAAGTGATGTGCCACATGATGCCACTTCATCATCTACGAGCATTGAAAGATACTCAGTGCTGTCAAAAGCTGATTGATGTTTACCTAGAGGACTTCAACAGTAATTTCTCAGCTGAGCTTCAGTAGTTTCATTCATATGTGTGCCATAAGTTAAGGGCAACAAAAAAAAAATGTAAAAACAAGATTCAGTTCTGCTGAACTTTATAAAATAATTGTAGAAGACAATATTGAGTGTGCCTTTCCAAATGCAAACATTGGCTTTCATATATTTTTAACATTAATGGTCACAAATTGCTCAGCTCAACATTCATTTTTCCCAGTTGAGGTACAGTATATTAAATATCCCATCAGAACTATGCAACAAGGCAGGCTGGATGCCTTATCTCTATTAAGTATAGAAACATGTGTTATATAAGATTAGTTTTGAGGATCTGATCAAAGACTTTGGAATTAAAAAAAGTAGGAGAAAAATGTTCAAATATAAATAAAGTGGAACTATACAAAAATAAACATTTTCCATCTTACTGTAAATTTTGTTCAATTTTGATAAATAAATTTTTGTTTTATGGTTTATTATTGTTTATATTTTGAATTACATATATATGGGTGCACCAAAATCTTTTAAGTGCTTAAGGGCCTCTCTTGTTCTGGCCCTGCCTCCAAGGCACAACCCTGATTTAAAGCTAGCATTTTTCTTTTTTTGTTTTAAATGGCATTTACTAGTTTGCTGGTAACTTTTCCTGGTGAAGAACTGGAGAGCAGTCCAAAATTATTTCCATCCACCCATCTGTCTGCTACACATCCCAGGTCTAAATGTTTCATCCACCCACTCAGCCCAAAACTGGGATCCTGGCACACTCTTGAAAGCTGAGGGAACGTATTTCTTTTCATTCAAAATTCAGGACATATACTGTACAGTACTTCATCCTGATTTGCACGGGACGACCTCCCCTGGGTCAAGCTGCAACGATGCCACCGTTTAGAGATAAACGTGGCTCCTGTGCTCTTGGCGGGGAGGGGGGGGGATTGACTTCTGAGCAAACCTCTCTTAAGCTCCAACCTCCTGTCTTTCATGGATTCTACGCTACCCTTCAAAGGTCAGGAAAACAGCCGGCCAGCCGCCAAGCCAAGCCAAGCCAAGCCCAAGGTCTCTTGCCGCCCCCGGCGCGCCCCGCCTTCCCTTGGCCCCGGGGGGGGGCGGCGGCGCAGGCGGGCGGGCGGGCCGGCTTCCGCGGTGCCTTCTCGCCATGGTGGAAGCGTGGTACATGGACGAGTCCCCGGAGGACCAGCGGAAGCCGCACCGCCTGGAGCCCAACCGGCCCGTCAGCCTGGAGAGGCTGAGCCAGCTCGGTGTCTTCTACTGGAAAGTAGGCCGCAAGGAAGGGAGTAGGGGCGCCGTCACGAGGGGAGAAGCCCGGGGCGAGTAGGCGAGCGGGCGAGCTAGGCTGGGCTGGGTGCTCCCCTGCGCGCCTGGCGCCGTCGGCAGCCGGGGGGACCTGGAAGGGCTTGCCGGGCCGGGCCGAGCTTTTTTTTCCCCTTTCCAGGCGGGGCGCGCGCCGGGCAAGCTCGGAGCCAGAGTTCGCGCGGCCTTTTCCCTCGCGCCGGGTAGCGCCCTGGCCTTGCGCGCTTTCCCCTCGGAGCGAGCCGGGCAAGGAGCCGCCTAGCGCGCCGGAGAGGGGCAGGCGCTTGCTGGGCGGGGGGTCCGTGGGGCAGCCCCCCCCCCCCGACGCCGCC